AGACTGATTCCCATTTTCCTGAGGAATCTCCATACTGATTTCCAAAGTGGCTGTATGAGTTGGCACTCCCACCAGCAGTGGAGGAGTGTTCCCCTCTCTCCACATCCTCTCCAGCATAAATTGCCATTGGAGTTTTTGATTTTAGCCATTCTGGCAGAAGTGAGATGTTATCTCAGAGTTATTTTGATTTGCATTTCCCAGATGGCTAAGGATGTTGAGCACTTTCTTAAGTGTCTCTCAGCCATTTTATACTCCTCTATTGAGAATTCTCTGTTTAGTTCTGTACCCCACTTTTTAATTGGATCATTTGGTGTTTTGGAGACTTGCTTCTTGAGTTCTTTGTAAATTTTGAAAATCAGTTCTCTGTCAGATGTGGGATTAGTGAGTATCTTTTCCCTTTCTGTGGGCTGCCTTTTAAGGTCCTGGAGAGATCAGGGATCATATCCAACATAATAAAAGCAATACACAGTAAACCAACAGCTAACATCAAACTAAATGGAGAGAAACACAACACAATTCCTCTAAAATCAGGAACAAGACAAGGCTGTCCACTCTCTCCATACTTCTTCGATATTGTAGTTGAATTTCTAGCTAGAGCAATAAGACAAGAAAAGGAGATTAGGGAGATACAAATTTGAAAGGAAGAAGTAAAACTTTCACTATTTGCAGATGATATGATAGTTTACATAAGTGACCCAAAAAACTCTACATGGGAACATCTACTGCTGATAAACACCTTCAGCAAAGTGGCAGGATACAAGATTAACTCCAAAGAATCAGTAGCCCTATTTAATATACAGATGATAAATGGACTGAGAAAGAAATAACAGAAACATCATCCTTTACAATAACCCCAAACAACATAAAATATCTGGAGATAATGCTAACCAAACAAGTGAAAGACCTGTATAGCAAGAACTTTGTGTCTTTAAAGAAAGAAATTAAAGACGATACCAGAAAATTTAAAGATTCCCCCATGCTGTTGGGTTGGTAGGATCAACTTAGTAAAAATGGCAATCTTGCCAAAAGTAATCTACAGATTTAGTGCAATCCCCCATCAAAATACTGGCACAATTCTTCACAGACCTTGAAAGAACAATAATCAACTTTATATGGAAAAACAAATGACCCAGGATAATCAAAACAACCCTGTACAATAAGGAACTACTGGAAGCATCACCATCCCTGACTTCACGCTCTATTATAGAGCTATAATCCTGAAAACAGCTTGGTAACAGCACAAAAATACACAGGTAGACCAATGGAATCAAACTGAAAACCTTGCAATTAACCCACACACCTATGAACACTTGATTTTTGACACAGAAGCTAAAATTATACCATGGAAAAAAGGCAGCATTTTCAACAAATGGTACTGGCATAACTGGAGGCTGGCATGTAGAAGACTGCAGTTAGATCCGTGTCTATCACTGTGCACAAAATTTATGTCCAGATTGATCAAAGACCTCAACATTAATCCAGCCACATTGAACCTTAGAAGAGAAAGTGGGAGGTACTCTTGAACTAATTGGTACAGGAGACTGCTTCCTGAACATAACACCAGTTGCACAGACACTGAGATCGACAATTAACAAATGAGACTTCCTGAAACTGAGAAGATTCTGTAAGTCAAAGGACATAGTCTGCCAGTATTCTTAGGAAGAGGGTAATGCCTGCAGATCCTCCAGTATTCTTACAAAGACTCACCCATCCTTTCTTCTCATCCCACCTACCACTATGCCCTTCTTGGATGCCTGCAGTGTGGTGTATGGCGTTCTTTTGACTCCTCTGTTCTTAAGCATGGTGTTAGAGAAAAAGAAGTTGTGATGTCTGCCTATAACCCTTGCCTATTGTCTTCTCCCTAAAACAATCCTCCTTTCTTTTTCCATTGTATATGTGTCTTCCAAACATGACTTAGGAATACCATAAATCACACTCTTCATACTCTTTACACCTACTCAATATCTTAACCATAATAATAATTACACAACCCTCATGTCATTCTTCTCTGGAACACATCATTTCTATGCAATCTTCCTGTCTTGATAAAACAGACTGAGTAAGTAGTTCTGCTGTAAAACTAACTTCTCATTTCCCTTTTCTCACTATTTTTTAATTCTCCATTTCACCCACTCCCTCTCTCCTTCTATAATTTCTTAGATCTTATTACCAGTACCTGGAATCTTAATATTATTTTAGGTACTTCAACCTGGCCTTCTATTTCATTCCCTCTGGTACCCAACTGGAACCCAGAGGGCATCATTCGCTTTTCATTCACCCTGCTCCTCATTCTTCTTTTTATCTATCTCTGTCACAACCCATCACTGAGACCAGTGTCCTGGATGCAGCCTCATCTCCCTTTTCCTCTCTACCTGTGTGTGTGTGTGTGTGTGTGTGTGTGTGTGTGTGTGTGTGTGTGTGTCTACATGTGTAAAAACATTTAACTGGGGACTTGATTTCAGTTTTAGAGATGTCCATGATCATCATAGCAGGAAGCAGATAGGCAAGATGCTGGCAGTATCTGAGAGCTCTACATCCTGATCTGCAGAGACAGAGAGGAAAGAGGGAGGGGGAAGGAGAGAGAGAGAGAGAGAGAGAGAGAGAGAGAGAGAGAGAGAGAGAGAGAGAGAGAGAGCTCTTCTTCCGTTCTTGACAAAGTTCTACCTTGTGGAAATTCAGCTTATGGGATTAGCAAAATTTAGACAACACTTATCAACACTGGCCAGACTTCTCAAACCCTGTGACTTCTCAAAAACCAGGCACACTGGTCTTACCAATAAAGCTCCACTTTCATCTGCTCTGTTCATACATCTATTCGTCTTAATTATAGTATAATATCATTTCTTCTATTCCCCAAATATCTAACCCTTGTTCCCTATTTTCTTCTGAAGTGATGAAGCTGCATCCTACTTACTGAAAAAAAGAAACTGTATTTGTTGATCCCTGGTTTTTCTGGATCCAAGTCTTCTGCTTTCTTCTGTGGTGGGGAGTGAACTACCTGAAGTCTCCCACTTGGTCATAGATCCTCATCCTCACTAACCTAGCACAATGCTTAACTTTTTTTTGTTCATTACACAGTTCCCTCTCCTTGACGTTTCTCATATACATACATGTATGATGGTATTTCAGACATCACTGAAAGGTATCTCTGACAACATAGCTTGGGCACAGGCAAGCCGTTGTATCCCCATAGTCTGACACTTTGTTCATTTTCCTGGCAGCATCAGTTTAATGACCTGGGCGTATCACTCTTTGGACAGTGGGATGGACCAGCAGGAGCTACAGCAACACTAGCTTAAAAAAAAAAAGCAGATGAAACCACATAGCAAGGGCTATGACAATTATATTGTCATTGGGCTTTAAACTAGTTTAGTGACACAGGAAGACTGCCTCATAAATTATAAGCATTGCATAGGGCACAAAGAGTCCTGGTGTAGCAGCCAAATAATACAGAACAAAATTTCATAAAATAACATTCATACCCAAAGCCATAATAAACACAGCCTGAATACTGAAAGTTAATTGATGTCTGCCTAAGGTAAGAGAGGTGGTAGAATTCCTGCAAAGGAATTAAAGCAGTCACCACAAAAATGTTTTTATAAGTAATTGCATAGTCCTTGATAATAGATAAACATACAAAATAATAAGAGTAAGCACAGTAATAGAAATGTCATGAAAATTATAGCCCTGACAGAAGAATTCACAAAAATAAAAATAGTCTAAATCTGGTGAAAGTGCAGACATCATAGACTATATTATTAGAGACAGCAGTGGCAGATCTTTTGAATTGGCCTCTTCTGCATAGCTGAGAGGAAATAGATTGAAAAGAAAATATGATACAGGATCTGCTCTTGTGGGGCGCCAGGCTCATTTCTCACATCAGGCTGTGCCTCAAGTTTCAGGGGAACCAGTGCCCTCTTCTGGCTTCTGTGTGCACCAGCAGATATGTATTGCCTACACAAGTGCTCCAGGCACTCACATATACATGACACAGCTTCAGTGACCTGGGGGGAAATTAAGAAAAGGTCTGAAGATTTTATCAAGTTCCAAGAAGAAAAGAGAAAGTGGGTAGGTTGCAATAGAATTGGGAGTGACAGCTGAAAACTTATTGAACAGGTAGAAACTGAGCAAAGTCAGGTGGGATAATCTCAAGGCATTTTCCACAAAGGTGCATCTTAAGTAAGTGTTTAGAAACCAGCATCAAGGAAGGAATTTTTTAAAATAAAATTCGTGATTTTCCTGTTATGTGCATGAGTGTTTTCCTGAATGTGTATCTGTGCCCCATGTGTGTGCCTGGTGCCCACAGAGGCCAGAAAGAAGTTGTCAGAACTTGTGAGCTGTCATGTGGATGCTGGGAACTGAACCTGGCTCCTCTGTAAAAGCAGCCAGTGTTCTTAACTGCTAAGGTATCTCTTATGCTCCAAATAGGGAATCTGCCTGAAGGAGAACAATCATTAGAATGGCAACGGATTTTTCATCTAAACACGTGAGAGCAAAGGGAAGCACCAAAATAATTAGCTGTGGACCATAAGTCCAGTGAAACTGTGTCCAACAGTTCCCATAAGGTAAAAGTGAAGTCATAAAGGGAGTCCTGGAACATCAGGAAGGAGCAGAGGATGTGAGCATAAGAAGTAGGGTATCCTCACCAGTTTAAGTTAAAATGAATAAAACAAAATGCCATCAATGTGTCTTACTTGACATACACTTGTAGAAATCAGGGAATAATTCAGACTTTCTAGCTCCTGCAGGATGAATATGAATCAAGTGGTAGCAGCCAGAAGAAGCATTTCCTGCTGTGAGGGCAAGAGTTTGCATCTCCACCCTGGGGGAAGAATCAAGTATAAGGGATTGGGTACCAAGGAATGTCTCAGAAACATGCTACTTCCTGGGGGGAGAGCAAGCAATGCTGGTTGTGTTTATGTGACACAGTAGTGGAATGAGAACGCTGGGTTAGTAGATTTTCACTACCGACCACAGCTAACACATCAATGTTTCTCCAGCTTAAAGATGGAGCCCAAGACTAAAGGATTAAAACAGCAGCAGCAGCAGCACAAGAAACTTCTGGCTGCCATGCTTTCCCAGGACTCCTTCGAGTCCATTCACAGCCCCACACCATCTGCAATAGAAGAAGACATTGACAATGAAGACGATGCAATGGAGTTGCTGGGTAATTTTAAAAATTAATCATTTCTCTTTCTCCTCTTTTGTGGCATTGTAAGCATGTTCAGGAATTGAGGGATTTTTTAAACGTTTTGAATAGTTTTGTCTAAGGCAAAGGGGGCCCCTTACCATACACTTCTTTTCCTTTAGACCTTACAAATTTGCATGTGAGAACCAAGCTGAACCCATGGAAGCATGTGAAATACTCCCTAGACTGTACCATGTGTTTTGTGTACACAGCACTCTATACTCTGACTTCATCAAGCTTTATTCTGTGTGCAATTGTGATAAAATGCAAATCTGTTTTATTTTCCTGATTACACCGATTGTCTATATAACACACCCTCTTCCTAACAAGACCCTATGATTGTAAGGTTATTTTAGAAAAATATCATAAAACTGAAAGATGTTACAGTACATTAATGTTTGATGCTGTTCATAAATGATAGGAAGCTTCATATAGATTTCAAAGTCTTCAGAGACTGACCTTCACAAAACTTCATTAATGTTGTAGATACAGTTTCCTTTTTGTAAAATTTTTTGGTGTATGTGTGTGTGTGTGTGTGTGTGTGTGTGTGTGTGTGTGTGTGATTCAAATATGTGATCTTGTTCCAACAGAAATTTCTCCATGCAAATTGTTAATTGAAACGAACTTTGGAAAAAAATCTTTTTTTGTTTTGTTTTGAGACAAGTTTTTTTCTGTGTAGTCCTGGCTGGGCTGTTTTGGAGCTTGCTCTGTAGACAAGGCTGGCCTGGAACTTGAGATCTGCCTGCCTTTGCCTCCAGAGTGCTGGCATTAAAGGCATGTGCCACCCCCATGCCTGGCTGGAAAATCACTTTTACAAAAGAAGAACATGAAGTTTTCTTTGGAAATAATCCAAATGTAAGATGGTATGTTTTTAACTGTTTGCTACTAGCTATTCTATAGAGAATTTATTAAAGCATTTTGTATATGCTTTTATAAGAGCATAGCATTATACATATAGTATATTATGTGCATAAAAGTACTTTATTAAAATTGTAAACCATATTACTAGGATTTAAGTGTTGATGGCAGTAAACTATGTTCTATAATAGATTACAGGTATCCATGCATACAGCTGCAAAGATGTTATTCAGTCAAAAATGGCAGGATTGAAGATATTTTCTAATGGTCTAATAGCTGCCTTCAGTTTAGAATTAAGGAGACTGTACCATGATACTTTTCATTACATACTTTTGGGCTTTGGTTCATTTTAAACAATTAAGTCTGATTCCCACTTACAAAGCATGTGGAAGAGCTTCTAGATGTTGCCATGACTCTGTCAACCATCTTTTATTAACTAAACGGGACTTTGTCTTAAGGTCATAAAATAATAATTTATGCTTGTAGGAATTTTGCAGTTGGGTAAAAAAAAATGCAAGCTCATCACTTCCACCTTGTTCGCTACCTGTGTTGTCACAGCTGGATTTAGTGGTGAGTCCCAGTTCACAAGAGGGGGCAGGGATCATCACAAGCTTTTTAAAGGAGGTGGTTCTCTGCCTAGTCCTGAAGGACACAGAGGTGTAAATCTGAGAAGTGAGAAGACTCCTCAGGTCTTGCTCACAGAGGTATTACGTCTTTGGTGACTGCCTGTAAATGGCTCCCCTGTGGGTCACTGACAGTGGAAAGAGATGACCAAGGGACTCAGGAGGATCACATATCCACTCCATGCTGATTGTCTCTAGACTTCCCCTGGTCTGTTCAGAAATTTCTAGCTTTCTAATCTGAAGTCTAGAGAGTGGAATTGGGGGGTCTCCTTCATGATAAGCCATTAACAACTGGCTCTCATTAATTCATCTTCTCACTTTAGTTATTTATACTGTGTTCTGACCAGGTTTAAAGGTAAAGAATTGCGGAAGATTTCACTGTGTGATCTTATACAGTTCACTCGCTGAATGATGAGAGCTCCTTGTGATAGTGTGTGATGATCAAGCACATAGCTTGAACATGTAATTCTATGTGCAATTTCCCTGGTTTGGAAAATGATTTCAGAGAAATGTGTGATTGCACAGATCTGGAGAAAACACAAATGTTTAAAGTTTATCTGAAATCAAAATTTAGTGCATAGAATCATTGTTAAAATGTAACAGATATTGGTGTTTAACCTTTTGGGATTATTAAATATGCTGTAGAATGAGTTTGCTGTAACTGTGTTTTTAATGGTTCAACTTATCATTATCTATGCCATGATAAAATTAGTTGAAAATGTATCATGCATGGAAAGTTATCTGTAAATGTGAATTGATAAGTAAATTACACGGTTTTAGCCAATATTAATATAAGAATGAATTACCCATCAATAAAATTGGTTTACTTAAGGAGGAAATCCTTATTGAAAGTAGTAGATATAAATAAAACTAATTCTTCTTGTTGTCTTTATTGAAATATAGTGTTGTTAATATATGCTGATTACATATTCACAGTTTAATTATATGTCTGTGGATTTATTTCATAAATCTATTAGGCATGTGAAAATATATTTTAGGATCCATTTTATATTAATTTCTCCCAGGCTACTTTAAGCTCTACTTATAAATTCATAATGTAAAAATAACTCCTTATGAATCAATATCATCTATCAGTGAATTAAGTATCTGAACTTGGACTTTTAAAGAGACACCAAATTTGGATATCTTTGAGAGTGGCTCTAGATATACAAAATATAGATTAAAAACCTCTTTCAACTCACCTCAAATGATGAAGCTTACAATCTTAAATGTAAGACACTCTCAATTATTTTGGTGATTATACGGGCACATAATAATCAGAGTGAACAGACACTCTTTACAGAAATTTATCACATTTCCTAAACACGTGCTAAATAATGTCAGCTCAGACAACTTCCCCAAAGTCTCTGTAGGTTCTCTTCCTTTATCAAGGGATACTTAAGGAAGTACTGAAGGACATTTAGCTGTGGGAAGTCATTCCGTTTCCCCTATGTTACATATTTTTATTGTCATGTTATAAATGTAACATTAATGTTTGATTGTTTTCTACATAGTTTATACAGATTTATACCCATTTTTAAAAAACTAGAATTAAAAGGCACAGCCATTTTATTACACACTTTTGTTTGGACTATTACTTATGAAATATTTTAGTCCTTCTTAGGTTTGTTGCTGAGGGAGCTATCTAAAAATCATATTCCAGAGATGCTAAAAACATTCATCATAGTTATACTTTCTGGCCTTATCTCAGGATTGTACAAATTTAAAATTAATGTCAACTCTACATTGCCTCAAATAAACGGGGGTGTCACAAACATATTTTACTTGTTTTAAAATAATTAAGCTTAATTAAAGTTTAATTCCTTGCTGAATGCAGTTTCTAGCGCTCCAATATCTTACCAGATAAATGAATTCATTAGTAAAATACAAAGTGGCTTTATTACAGGGACCCATTAAAATATGATGCTCTTTCAGCCAATTCCTCTGCACTGTGATGAGCTTTTTGAAAAGATAAACATTCACTGTCATGTGTTTGGTTAAAGAGGAGGTTTTCTTTTTTCATCCGATATTTCCTACATGTATAAAGTAAGAATGGGGTACTGCATCTGATGAGAAATGGATGCTGTCACTGTGGCATGAGTTAAAAGAGAGAGGCCCTAATGTCTTTCATAAATCCCTTACCTACATACACACACACATACATATATATATATATCTGTTCTTTAATGGCTTAACACCTGCAAGCCTATCAGAAACAGAAGGAACCATCAACATAAGCAGCTTCAATATTGTTTCCTTACAGAACTGATTATTTGGCACATCAGAATAGCAGCTAAGTTGTCACTTTAAAATAAACTATTATCTTCATAAAAATGATTCTTGATAAACATTCTGAGGACTTTCAAATATTAAACCACCGGGTGTTTCAATATGGCCTAGAAGATTGCTTAACATATTAATTCATTCAAGTTAATGTAAATTAGTGCTCATTATAGATAAAAAAAACCAAATAGCTAGTATTGAGTATTTTAATATATAATACTTAAAAATATTCAGAAGGTTAATATTGAAGATATTATATAAAGCTTCCTTAATTCAAGTAGGTCTTTATCTTCACATAGATGATATTTTATCAAATTCTCTTAATTATTCTGCAGCTGATCACCACAATTAACCAAACCTCATGGAGGAGGTGCAAATAGATTTTTACAAATTTACTAACTCAATCAGCACAGCTGGAAACCTAAGGCATCCTGAAGCTGGGTGAAATATCTATCACATACTAGCTATTTCCCCTGTGACAGAAGCTCTGCAGAATGCTCCCGTGTTGGCATCTATGCTTCCGAACTGGAACGTCAAATGGCTTTTGTGTCATCATTACCTGTGCAGATGTTGCACAGTCACTGTGTTGCCCAAGGTCTTCAATACCTGCTTAACTCTTTCAGTTAAAATGCCATTTTAGAAAATATGTTTCAGAACATGCTTTTCCACGGCAAACTCTGTGCAGCTGTTGGCATGGGGAATGGCACATCTTATATTTAACTTTAAAAAGTTCTTTGATTTTCTTGAGTTTAGAGATAACGGTGATTTTGTGAGAAAGTAGATGGCAGGTTTAGTTCTTTTTATCATTTGTTTTCTCTTAAAAACAATCTTTCCTCATTTTACATACCAATCCCAGTTCCCACTCCCTCTCCTGCTCCTGATGCCTCCACATTCTCCCCCATCCCACCCCAGTTCACTTCTCAGAGAGGGTAAGGCTTCCCATGGGGAGTCAACAAAGCCTGGCACATCACTTCAAGACAGGACCAAGGCCTCCCCCCATATCTATGCTGAGCAAGGTAACCCTCCGAAGAGAATGGGCTCCACAAAGCCAGTTCAAGCACTAGGGATAAATCCTGGTCCCACAGACTTTCCAAGCCACACAACTGTCACCCACATTCAAAGAGCCTTGTTTGGTCCAATGCAGGATCACCCCCCCCACTGTCAGTTCAGAGTCAGTGAACTCCCACTAGCACAGGCCAGCTGTCTCTGTGGGTA